CAGGGAAAATAGGCCCGCATCTAGTAACCCTGCCTCCCCCGGGTAAGGCTGTATTGTGATGTGCCTCCAGGTGGGGCTCTAGGCAGAGTCCACAGGGAGCCAGAGGACTTGGTGGGGTGAGGGCGACAGAGGACATGTCCCTGAGAGGTGACACTGAAGGAGTCATGGGGCTACCTCAGCGAAGGAGCCAGGCGAGCATGCTCCAAGCAGAAAGGGCTGCTGTGAAGAGGCCCCATGTGGAGGGAGCTTGCTGGAAAGGAGCAGGCCAGCATGGTGCAGGGGAGGGACCCGCTGGGCCTTGCTGCAGGGCTCCGTGCACATCCTCACCATGCAGCAGCTCTTGGAATGTTAGGGTTAGTCTTTTTTTGTTTTTAAATATATTTTTATTGGTTTCAGAAAGAAAGGGAGAGGGATAGAAAGATAGAAACATCAATGATGAGAATCATTGATTAGTTGCCTCCTGCCCGCCCCCTACTGGGGATCGAGACTGCAGCCCAGGCATGTGCCCTTGACCAGAAGTGAACCTGGGACCCTTCAGTCCGCAGGCCAATACTCTATATCATCTGAGCCAAACCGGCCAGGGCAAGATTGAGTCTTTAACTTAAGATACTAGCAAGCTGCTGGGCAACAACAAAGTTAGACTTGGGTTTGAAAGACATTTGTGTGGAGAACCGATTAGAGCTGGGTGATGGTAGCCATGGGGAGACACCTTACCAGGTGAGAGATGGTGTTATCCTGGGCTAGGGCCATGGCAATGGAGACAGAAAACATTAAGCAGAAAGCATCCAGAAAGCAAAACCAACAGGACGCGGTGTCGGAGTGGACATAGGGAGAGAGGGGCGGGTTGGAGGCGGGGCCTGGGTTTCCGGCTGGTGGAGCTACAGGGATGCAGTGCCCTTGGGTGAGGAAGGGAATTTCGGGAAAAGACTAACTTTGAGGCAGGGCTCATGGTAAATCACGTTTGTACAATTTGAGTTTGAGGTGCCATTGGGCCAGCCGAGTAGAAAGACCACGGAGATGATTGAGTGCGTAGGTCTGGAGGTCAGGCAGCAGGAGGGTTGGGGACATAAACTTCGGAGGTACGAGTGCAGCTATAGCTGTGAGCTGGAAAGAGATGTCTCAGTTGGAGGTCGTGGAGCCAGAAGGGAGGATGGCCTAGGACCACACCCTGCACAACTGGAGAGGCAGAGCGGAGAGGACAGGAGGGCAGGAGGGCAGGAGGGAGGGAGGGTGGGAGGGTGAGAGGGCGGGAGGGAGGGAGGGTGAGAGGGTGGGAGGAGGGAAGGGTGAGAGGGTGGGAAGAGGGAAGGGTGAGAGGGTGGGAGGGCAGGAGGGTGGGAGGGCAGGAGGGTGGGAGGGGGGAAGGGTGAGAGGGCGGAAGGGTGGGAGGGGGAAGGGTGGGAGAGCGGGAGGGGGAAGGGAGAGGGCAGGAGGGCAGGAGGGCAGGACGAGCACCTACAGAAGTCCAGAAGCCGTGGCGGAGTGGAGCCTGGCGTTCTGGTGCCTGGAGCTGAGGAGCATGCGAGCCTCAGGAGGAGGGCGGCAGAGAGGCTGTGTGGGAGAAAGCAGAGGTGCCTGTTGGGTTTCCTAGCCTGGGTCCCGCTGATCGTGGGGATTCAGGCCCAAAGCCAGATTGGCAGGAGGGTGCAGGGAAGGGATGGGGCCCTCTTGTTTGGCAAGTTGGCTTATTTACCTCATTTTGTCCTTGGAATTTTGTACCGCTTGCTGCTACTAGAGCAGAAGGGTTCCGTTCAGTTTAGGAGTTTCCTAACTAAAACCAACCAACCAACCAAACACACAAACAGAGCGGGAATCCCAGTGCACTGGTTGCGGGCACTGCCCACGAAGCCCAGTGGGCAGAAGGCTGAACTGTGCCTTCCACTGTCCAGACCAGCCTTGGACAAACTACGGCCCGCGGGACGGATCCGGCCCGTTTGAAATGAATAAAACTACAAAAAAAAAAGACCGTACCCTTTTATGTAATGATGTTTACTTTGAATTTATGTTAGTTCACACAAACACTCCATCCATGCTTTTGTTCCGGCCCTCCGGTCCAGTTTAAGAACCCATTGTGGCCCTCGAGTCAAAAAGTTTGCCCACCCCTGGTCCAGACAGTGGTGTTCAAATATTCCAGTCTTACTGGTGTTTTTGGCCTGATCTAGCATTTACTGAGAATCAAAAGGCACTAGCCATAAAAGAAAAAAATAGGTTGGACATTATCACAGTAAGAAGCTGTTGCTTTTGAAAAGACATTGTTAAAAAAACAAAAAGACAAGGAGACACTGGGAGAAATATTTCTGTATCTGTATCTATATCTATATGTACCGGAAACGAGCTTACGTCCAGAACATACAACGGACTCTTAAAACTCAAAAATAGGAAGATATTTTAACAGCCCAGTTAAAAGATGAGCAGAAGGTTGAAATAGACGTTTCAGTCAAGAAGGCATAGGAATGCGGAGGGGCTGCTCCTTGGAGGCCCAGGATCCTTTGGCCCCTCCCACTGGCCCATCACAGCACCTGGAATGCTTTCCCCAGGTATCCGTATGGCCCCTGAGTCCGGTCCTCACGGAGTGCGTGGCTGCTCCTGTCACTCTCGTGGGCACTCTCCATGCCCATTGTCTCCCCTCTTGCCTGTCCTGAGGACACGTGGCTGTGCTTCCTGTTGGTGGGAGGGTAGTCAGCCTCCTATACGCACACCCTGTGTCCTTCCCTCCCACAGGACCAGCGTCGACCTGTGAAACCAACAGGATCCTGCAGAAATGACTGCCGATGTCCAAGGCTAACTTCCAGGACACTGCAGCTTCTGCCCGGCTCTCGCTCTGGGAAGCCAGCTGCCGGTTGTTGTGAGGATGTTCAGGGAGCCCTGTAGGGGGTCAGGTGGCCTGCCCACACCCAACACTAACTCGCCAGGCATGTGCACAGGTTGCCCTGTGAAGATCCTCCTGCCCCAGGCAGACCTTGAGCCAGAGGTGCCCAGCTAAGCCTCTCCTGAATTCTTGATCCGCAAAAACGACCTGTGTGACATAAGAAATGTTTACTGTTTTAGCTGTTAGGTCTGAGGTGTTTGTTATGCGGCAATGCCGAACTGATGCATGTGGGAAGGAGTAAGTAGCTCCCATGTGGCGAAGCCACATTCTACCAACTACTTACAAAGAGCTTATTTTGATGCCTGCCATTTATAAGGTTAAATATATTGTGTTTATCCCTCAGTTCTGAACCTGCAGGCAGGGGAGGAAGATGGGGGTGAGGAGAGACAGGGAGAACAGGTTGGAGTTATAGGGGAGATTCTGGGGAAAGAGAAATGCTGAAAAGATAATTTTTAAGGAGCTTTAAGGAATCATGTGTGATATAACCCACATTTCTGACCCCACCCAAGAAACTGTCAGCAAAATGCATGCTGCTGTTCAAACTTTCAGTGGGGTTTGTGGGGAACACAGTCAGATGGAAATTGCATACAGATGAGGGCTGAGCGCCATTGCATCATTTCCCCAAGTTCACACCAAGGAGGGGGGCAGGGCTGCGCCCAGGTCCTGGAACTGCGGTCTCCAGCTGTGGCGGCGGAAGCGGAGGAGCGCAGCTCAGCTGGACGGATACAGCGCACAGCGCACAAACTCAGAGGACCTCCTCTGCTCCCGTCTGGACTCACTAGATCCAAGATGGAGGAGTCTGGAACTAAGTGCTTCAAGACCAACTTTTAAAGCCTTGTTTATCCTTCAGGGGTCCTTGAGGGCCCCTTTGGAGAGAAAACCCAAAGATAAACCCCTGGCAGTCCGAAAACAACACTGGGAGTGCAGTCCCTCCGCCCCCTCTCATTGGGTCGGGCACCAACAGTGGCCGAAGGAGCCTGTGTGGTGAGGCTGGGGCCAAGGCAGCTGGATAATGATTGCACCGTCTTCTCCCATCCTCCCCGACCCCCTGCTGCCCCGGCCAGCGATGGTCAGTCCCTCCTCCAACCTGCATGAGGAACGAGAAGTGTGCGGGATGTTCCCCCAAACAGACTCAGCAAAGACAGCGAGAGGCCTAACTCATCAGGGGCAACCTCAGCCTTGTCCTCAGACCTTAGCGACAGCGTTTTCATTTCCTGCCACGTGTGAGGGAGGCGGAGGGGCAATTCCAGGGGTGCACACTCAGGGGTCTCCCTAATACACCCCAACTAACAGGAAACGGTGCTTGAGCAAAAACGCCAAACAAACTGCTTTATGGTCAGTTAGAAGATAAATCTCACACAACAAATAACAGACGCTGGAGTTTCCAAATCCTTTCTCCAAGAGAGCAAAAACAAAGGAAATTCCTAAGCTACTCACTGTAGGGACAGGCCTTCCAATTTCAGGCCTTTGCATGTGTTAAGCAAAACCAAGAATAAGCAAGAAAATATGCCATTTGAATTGCGTTCAAAATGTTTTTTACAAGTGAAGCAAATTACTTTTGCATGTTCTGGGGCTCTGCAGAGAACAGTGTTCTGCCTTTAATGAGTAAAATCACACAGTTGGCGTTTAACAGTGAACCAAAAGTTGTGGTGGCTTCAGATGGCATCGCGCTCCCGGGGCCTCTCCACGCAGCCCCACCCCAGCAGTTTCGGAGCTTTCTGGAGGGACACGGTGGTCCCCAAGGGCGCCGGCGGCTCCTCCATTTCCTCGGACCTTTCCCTTCCCCAAAGCCCTCGCTTCGGCGGTGCCCGCGCCGCTGGGTGCTGGGACTGGGGGGCTCTGAGTGGCCTCCCGGGGAGCTGGCGGGACGTAGTGTCGTTCTGACCTACTGCCTTCTGACCAGGGCCCTGGGCTCCCGCACCCTGCACGTGGGTGCGGCGGGACGTCCCAGGCGCCACCTTTGCGGCCCGGCGTCCCGAGGCGCAGGCCCGAGGGCGGGAGCGGGAGGCAAGTCCCCGGACGAGCGGCGCCCCGGGTCCGGGCCCCCAGCTTCCCGCGCGCCACGCCAGCCGCCGGCGCGTCCCTCCGGCAGGGGGCGCCTGCCGGGCCTCGCTCTGCCCATCGGGGCGGGCGAGCGGGGACCCTGCCTCCTGCGCGCCCGCGGTCCGCCCCTCGCGCTCGTCCCGGCGGCCGGACTGCCCAGCCCGCGTCCCCGAGTCCTGCCGTCCGCCCGCGCCGCGCCCGGAGAGGAGGCGACCACGAGTTCCTCGAAAGGGACCATCTTGCGAAAAGCCCCGGAGAAAGGCCACGGACGCGCGGCCGACAGGGGTGGTGGCTCCCGGCCCCCCGCGCCGCGCCGGCCCCCCGCCCGGCCCCCACTGCCCGCGGCATGGCCCGGGGCCCGGCGCTGCCGCTGCTGTGCGCCCCGGCCGTCTGGGCGGCCACCGCGCTCCTGCTCCTCGCGCCCCGGACCGCAGGTAGGACCGTGCGCCGCCGGGCTCCTGGCTGAGCCCGTCCCTTCCGCTCCCGGGCCCGCCCGCCGCCCGCCCGCCGCCCGCCGCCCGCCGCCCGGGTGCTTTCCACTCGGCGCGCCCCGGGCCGGCGGAGTGTTTCCAGAGGCCGGCGGCGCCGCGGGGAGCCCTTCGCCCGGTTTCCAAGGGTCGAGAGTGGGAACGCGGCCCGGCCCGGGCCCTCAGACGTGGCCCGTGCTTCTCCGGACTGACTCGGCCTCTTCCCCGAGGTTCTCCCCGCGCCCCGGGAAGCGGGCTCCCGACCCCGCCGCTCGGTTGAGCGGGGCTTCGGCTTCCCCTTTTGTTGGCCCCTTCCCCTCCCCCACCGCCGGGAGGTGGCCGAGGCGGCGCGTCCTGTGCTGGGGGGGTCGGCGGCCCCTGGGTGGTCTCGGACCACCTTCGGGCCTCACCCAGGATCCGGGACGAGGCGCACAGCTGGAGGGACCGGCCCGGCTCCCGGGAGGCACTGTCCTCAAGGGGCACCCACTGTCCCGGGAGGCCCCGCGGGAGCTCCGCGGCGCGTCGGACCTGCCCCGAGTTCACCGGGGCTGGAGGGAGCGGCCTGGGTGCCGGAGGGGGAGGTGCGCTCGCTCTTGCCGTCCAGACCCAGGGAGCACCCGGCCTCTGCACCGCGCGGCCGGATGCGGGGTATCCTGCCGGCCTGGGGCAGGCGCAGTGCTCCGGGTCGGAGGTTTGCAAGCTGAAGTTCGCTTTAAGTCCTAAAATCTGAGCCGCCTCCTTACACGCAAGTAGGTCTCAGGGTCGCCCACCGCACTCTTGGTGCCCCACCCCGCATTCCTCCGCGCGGGCGAGAATCCGGGGACCCCGCCGTGTGGGGCTCGGCTCCTCCCGCGCCTGCTGCGCGCCCGGGGCCAGTCCCCCGACAGGCGTGCTGGGCAGCCTCCCGGGCGTGTGGGCCGGAGCAGATGCCGACTCCGTCGGACACGCCTGGTCCCTGGACGGGCGAAGCGGGTGCGGTAACGTTGCGGTCTCTCAAAGATCCCCGCTCGCGGCGCGCGGTGAACTGGTGAGTAACGCGCTCCATTCGCAGTTTGAGGCTCAGACATCCCTGTGCCCGCCAGGACGCTTCTCCCTTTCGAGTGGGGGGTTCCTTTGCGGCGCTGCTGGGTGGGTGTGGGTGTGGGTGTGGGTGTGGGAGTGGGACCGACTCCGGGACGCCAGGTGCGGGGCGTGGGACGCCAGGGGGCGGGAGTGTGCGGGGCGGGGGGCTTTCGTTGCTTTTTCGGGGGCGGGTGCGGGCTCAGGGCTGGAGGGGGGCGTGTGGGAAAGGGCGATGAGGCTGCTGCTTACATCAAAGTTGTAACTAGAACAGGAAAGTGGCTTGCGTTTCGGGCGCCGTGGTTTCCTCGTTTCCAGTTGAGTTTAAGAAATCTCTGAGGAACGAAGCAATCCTGTGTCATTTTCGCTAACTTTTGAATCCTGTGTGGAGGCAATTTTATTTTTCCAGTAATATAATAGTAGGCTCTCTTGGGGGAGGGAATAGGAAAGCTTAAACAGCTTTCTCTCCTGGAATTAGCTGAAAATTCAAAGAATATGGTCATATTCAAAATATGAATCAGTTTTACGATTACAGGAGATTTGGGTTTTTGGCATCTTTTCTGTGACGATGAATCCATGTAATTTGAGTGTGTTTTGTACACGAAAAGTAAGTTACTGTGTAAGAACATTGAAAGGTTATGTGAAAAGGATTTAGAAGTTCTTTTCTCCCTTTCCATGGAAGGCTCTGCTCCAAGGAGACAAATCCCTGACTGGGGACTGTGCTCCCCGCTTCGGTGGATGAGCTGGGAGGGGGGTTTCGGGGTCGCCCTCTCCCCATTTGACAGTGAAGTGTTTACTTCTGGCCCGGATCCCTGGCGTGATGGTCATAATAAACAATGATAGTGACCCACTTGGAAGTAAATGAAAACATCTTGAATAAGAAAGACTTCGTGGAGAAAGAACAGTTTTTATGTATGCAGCAAGGCAACATGTTTTTCTTATTATGGCTGTGTACCAAGCGAAGAAGCAGCGCGCGTTGGAAATGTTTCAGTGTTTAATGGTGAGAGCGAGTTTAACCCTCACGTCTACTGGATAAAGAATGCCATCCTGAGGCTGAGCACTGCCCATCTGTGCGACATCCGGTCTAAGCTCTCGGCCCAGCAGCGGGTGACTGGAGGGGGCTGGTGGGGCTGAACTTTGCATGCAAAAAGCAACGTCGGCCCAGAAGTGCTCATTTACGGGGTAGGTTTTGGTGACAGTGACCTGCAGATTTAGGAGGCACCCTGGAGTAACACTTCTGTTTTTATTGGTAAACCCTCCTATTGTTTGGTTAAAGGGCAGCTCTAATTGGTACTTGTAAGTCATTGTTTGTTAGGGTGTGACTTGCCTTGTTTTACCCTCGGAGACAGGTAAGCCTGGCAGAGTTGGAATTTTCCCCTGACCTTTTTTGGGGGAATCTTTTCCCTGACATCAATGGAATGAAAATGCCGGAGTAGGGGAACAGCCTGTCTGACAGGGAGGGAAGATGAATCCCCTAAAGCCAGGTTTCAGCGGGAGAAGTGGCACTCCTTTAAAATGCATTCCAGGGGAGGCCAGGATGTGGAAAATCATCATTATCATTGGAATGGAACTGGGTGTGAAAGGCTGGGCCTCCTCTGCAGAGCCCGCACCAGTCTGATTAGGCACAGGAAATTTGTGTGCTGTAGTGCTGCCCCGGGGAGCTCTAATTACACTAATTCCAAGTGTAGTCAGGGCAAAGAAAGTGGGCTACGAAGTGTTACCCCTCCCCCCAGGTTCATCACCGTCTTCCAATGCCCGCGGTCTTTTGGTGTTTATCTGGTCCGTTTCCTGGGAACCTGGAGGGGGCTTGTGCCCCACCCCCAAGCTGGTGGTTACCACGTGGAGAAGGGCTGGACTAAGGTGGGTTTACCTGCTGTGGCTCCAGCAGGAGGGGTGCCTTACAGGCCGTGACTGTGCCTGGTGAAGAGAGTTAAGATGTTAACTCGAGGCATTAAGGTGTCTCCTTTTTTGGAGACGGAAGTGACCACCAGTGGATCCCTTGAATACCATGCCCGAGAGGTTTCAGAGTGCGGGGGCAGCACTTTGCAGAGGGCGCATTCGGTGCGGTGAAGTCCACGTTTTGTGTGGCCAATAGCATTTTCATGAAGGGCTCTTTGGGCTGAAAGGACTAGTTCTGGAAACCGCTTCCCAGGGAGCCTTCCTGGGGCCTTGGTTTCGGTGGTTTGATGGCAGCACTGCGCCAGAGTCAGCTCAGCACACAGTGAGGGCAGCTGGAGTTTTGAAGTGGAAATCAGAGCAAAACAAGGAGCGTGGCCCGTGAATTACGGCCGCACCGACTGGTTTGCACCAGCCTCCTCCTCCCAGTGTGTATGCAGTTGGTTTGATGGAGCGGTTTGCCAAACTGGAAATAAGGGTGAGATGGCGCTGGTTCAATGTGCATTTGTCATAAAATATGTCTGGGGTGTGATCTGCTTACAATCATATTAACAGAGTGGCCAAGGAATTGCTGAACAGTGCTGGAAGATTTCTGAAAGCTTTTCAGAAATTGGGAATTGTGTTGGTGTGGTTAGCTCCGTTGTTGGGATTTCTGGCTTTTTTTTTTTTTGTAACTTTTATCTCTGAAAGAATAAAAATATTCGAAGCCAAAGGGAAGGAAATAATTACAGAAAAATCTAGCCTAATTGGAATGAGTGGCTTATCCTCTACGAAGTCTTCCGTTCCAGTGGGAGGTAGTGTGTGTCTGTGTCGTTGGAATGAGCTTCAGTAAGCACCCTGCCAAGCTTGAGATGTTATCTGGGGAGAAGTATCTGCTTTTTCAAGTCCCCGGGAGTGGGGGAGGGTTTCCCCAACCCTTAAATGCTCCCTCACTATGGTTTCCACACCCCCTCCTCCTGGAGGGCCAGCTAACCAGCCTGCAGCTAACTTGTAGAAGTCCTCCCTGCAGACTTGTGCGGTGGACTGTGGCCGCCACCAGGCACATATAGCTGTTTAGGTTAAAGTTAATTAAGCTGAACGAACTAGTTGCATTTCTTTAGTTGCCACCAGGCACATATAGCTGTTTAGGTTAAAGTTAATTAAGCTGAACGAACTAGTTGCATTTCTTTAGTTGCCTGTGGCAGTTGGCTGACATCGCTGCAGAAGCTCTGTCCGCCACCACTCTTGTCACTGTTGCTTCAGGGACATCTCCCAAAATTGGGAGCAAGGAGGGACTTCCCGATGTTTGCTTAGAGTTTTGTTTGTTGATTGTGGGAGATTTGAAGGAAAAAATGAACTGGATTAACTCCGATCTGTGGAACCAGAGGGCCCTGCCGGTGTGATGACCAAGGCCAGGAAACCAGAGCTATAGGGAATGAGTAGGGCTTGGGGGTCCCTGAGGAACTGGGTGGGGACAGAGGAGTTCCATCTAGAATGTGAGCAGCCACAAATGGCACTCTAGAGGGAGCAGGCAGGGAGTGAGGAAGCTTCCGGCACAATTTCTGGGTCACATCCCACCGTGGTAAAGTCCGCCTTGTAGCCCTGTCAATCATAGAGTGTTATTTTGTGTTTTTGACACGTATAGAACATTGGGAAATAACATTTGGAAATTGGGAATTTTCTTTCTGACAGTGAAATAGCACCCAGATCACCATATCATCAACTTTTATAACATGGGGCTGGTTTCCAGAGCAATTTAAAATAGTGAAAAATCGAGCACCACAATAATTCTATAGGAAGAGATGGTGACCAGGTGCGTGCTTGTCTTAAAGAAGTGAGGGGTGGGCGGAGGACAGGATTGGAGAGATGGCTGGTGGTGCATCTGCTTATTTTTAAAAAAGAAACATAAAGGAGAAACCAGAAAGTGACGTCAATACTCATCTTCATTAATGCATATGCATGATATACATTATTAGGTATATGCATAAGTAGATCCTGCTAACCACTTTTAAGTGTACAACGCAGTGGCATTC